AGGGAAAGGATAGTGAAATTTTGCTTTGGAAGATTCCTGAAACTCCGTTTTGTGGTTCTTGGACTAATAAATCTTTTACTACTAAAAGAATATTATTCTTATGATAATGAGAATAATCTTTTGAATATTTGGCATAATAAATGCCTACAAGACATTTTATTTTATTAATCTAGTTTTTTCTGCTGTAATGGGGGTATTGTAAATTACATGTTTGTATTAATGGTATTTCTTAAAGCAATATATGTAACTAAACTAAACCAATCTACAAACTGTTGTAGGCATCTATAAATTCTGTTGTAGATACTGTTAAGTTCGTTGGAATCTTAATCGGCAGACTATGTTGTGAATGTATTTGTACATTGTTATAATATTTTAAAAGATGTTTTGTTAAATTGAATGTCTGTTGGAGTAGGGACTTGAAAAGTGCATAACTTTATATTTGTATAAAGCTCTATTGTTTACAAAGCAAAAAAAAATTAAAAAAAAATTTTAAAAATAAACTTGAGGAATTATTGCACAGACACCATGAAATTGCAGTCCTAATTAAAAACCCAACTATACCAATACCTAAGTCTTTGCTGAAGCCTGTTTGGGGACAGAAGAATGAAAACAGTAAGGCAGGAAAGAAATTATAAAGAGATAACCAGAGAAGCCTAAATACGAACTGATGGTAGACATTATGGGTTTATAATTTTCTTAGACAAGACGGTATTATCATTCTGTGAGTGACTGTCCTGCCTCGTGGAGGGCACCTGCTGAGTGTGAGGGTGACACGCTATGCTAAGTGCGTCCCCATCTGAAATACACAGAGAAGCCCCCTCCCCCCACCGGGAGCACACGCGTGTGCGCACGTCCAGGAGTGAAGCAACCGCGTGCACTGCTCACGACAGCAGCCACAGCCCTGGGAGTGCTCCCTGCGCTCCTGATGGCCTACTGCACGTCTGCACAGAGAAACACAGGAGGGCAGGCGAACCTGCAAGTACAGCAGTCTCTCTCCACTTGCAGTCCATGAAAGTCATGATACAGAATGATCTGCATAAAACTGAGTAAGTCAAAACATAGCCCCTTTAACTTTAATCCATATAGTGAATGAGCCATTCAAGGGAAAAAAATTATTCTTTACAAAAATAAGTTACAATCTAAGATATCCTAGCAGTATTCTATGATACATATCAGTATTAATGTACTACATGTTTCTTTTTAATTTCTGGATGACAATACCAATTTTATTATAAAAATTAAAATCATACAAAGTAAGACTTGGAAATTAATAGTCCTACAAAACACTGCATCGCTGATGTACCCATGTATTATTCTCATTAGCAATGCTGAACCTAAGTCTTAAGATGGACAAATGCCCACAGTACAAGGCATTCTAAGAGACAAAATTCTAGAAGACAACTCAGAGACAACAGTTCTATTCAGACGTTTTTGACAAGAAACTAGCCTAGAAAAATAATAAAGTAAAGTTTTAGAAGAATCTATAATGGAATATGAATGAATGATATTATTTATCCAGGTTCTGTGCATCCAATAACAGTATTGTGGTTATGGAAAAAAATCTTCTTTTTACAAGAAAGCACATTATAGCTGAGAATGATAGTGCACACCTGTATTCAGATATTCACAGCCAGCCTGAGCAATTTAGCAAAACCTTGTATCAGAATTTAAAAACTTTAAAAAGGCTGGTGAAGACTGGGCATGGTAGCATGTGCCTGTAATCCCAGTGTTGGGGAGACTGAAAACAAGAGGATCACTACTAGTCCGATCTGTATAGTGAGACCCTGTACTAAATACATTTTTTAAAAAAGGCTGGTGATACAGTTAAGTGCTCCCTGCATTCAATCTCCAGTAGGGAAGGAGGGAGGAAAAAAGGAAAAGAGGATTCATTTTAAAATATTCAGGTAACACTATAAAAATATTTAAGAAATGAAGAGTGATAACTTTACTTGCAAATGGTCAACTAGAAGACATAGAAAGAGGAAGCAAAGAAATATATAAAATAATTTTATGTAATTTTAGTAATACATATTATTATATAAAAGATACATGCAAAAATATTTAAACAAGTAATCAATATGAAATAAAAATTTTTGGATTGTTGCATAAATCTGTTGCAATATGTACAACTACCACATAATGACTCAGAATTAAGAAATACTTTCATTTGAGTGTTGGCTGTTTCCTTCTTGCCTTCTAGAGCCAGATCTCTTTAGCACCACAAGGACACTATCACACAGTCCCTAGGGAACCGCCCTGTTATTCTTGACAGTCCTCCTATGAAGGAAGCATCAAGCATTTTGTCACCACTTGACTGCCTCACACCTGTGGCCGTAGGTGGGCTCCTCAGAGCAGGTTTGAGAGGGAGATCTGGAGCCTTCCCTTGGAGAGCACCAGGCACACTATGTTTTTCGGTCACTGAAAGCACCCACGCTGTCCTGTTTCTACTATTCTATCATGAAGCTACCCTGGCCTTCTCTCACTGGCCAGCCCACACCCTCTCCTCTGGGGACTCTGGCCATACCAACACCAGTTTAGAATTCTTCTACCTACTTCCCCATGTGGTAAGAAAAAAGAGACTATACCTAGTTGCTAATACTAATCCAATCATTGGCTTTCTCTTCAATCCATGATTTAAAAGAACTTTTGTTTCTGAGACTTGTCATTTGGATAAAACACAACATCCCAGCAGCACTAGCTGTCCCTAAAGCTGCTCTCAAGGCAAGCAAGGCAGCATCAGGTGCTGCTAGTTCACAGAACAGCAGGAACTGGGCTTTTCTGGTGTCCTCTGGGCCACATCACACACCACCCACAGACAGGGGACCATGAAGCCATGTGGACACAACAGACTGAGCAGCAGGGTAAGACCCCGGTGCACGGTCAGAGCGAGTGAGTTCAGAGCCTCAAAACCAAGCGCGGTGGGCCCAGAGCCATGACGTCCATCCCCAGCACACATCTGTGTGTACTCTGCACTGAAGTCACCCTGCTGCTGCAGGTGCCTGACAGACCTCATGCCCCTGGAGGTGCACACTGTTCCAAGAAGGTTCTCCCTGCCACCCCAGGGGACATAGGCAGCACCATCAAACATGGCACAAAGTGATTATAAAGCGCTGCAATGATCCAGTCATCAACACCACACAAGGCCACCACAGAATACATCACTGTCACCCAAGGGCTAGGGTGGGATCCTGGTGGCAGGATCTCTCTAACTCTTAGAGACTTTTCCAACTTGGTAGCTGTGCAGAGGTCTCCTTTTCCTCTGTGTACACTTCCGTGCATCCACGTCGGAGTGGGCATCACACGTGCAGGCACCGACTGCTCATGAGATAATGCCTTTCACAGTCAGGTACCCCACTGCGCGTCACATTCACCAGGCGAACAGAATCCTGGTCTGAAAGCCAATCTCAGTCCCTAGCCACTGTTCTCCCAAAGCCAACTGTCACCTGCTCAGATCACAGTCTGGGCCCCTCAGGCCAGAGCAAGCAAAAAGCAAGTCCTGGCTACAAAGGGCTCCTGCTTCTCCACCAGCAAGAAATAAAGTTACTACTGAGACATTTTACATTCTCTTCATACAAAGACTTAAGTATCCTGTGTGTATCTCACAACACAGCTCCACTGGGGTCAGCCGCGCTGCACATGCTCCATAGCTTCTGATGGAGGAAGGCGCTGCACTGGTCAGCACATACCTGCAGTCACACTAAGGTTAGCCTCTACACCTGTGCTCTTATTCAACATTGTCTCTGTATGAGCAAGCAGCAGGAAAACCCTTGACCCTGCAGCCACAGACCTCCATTTCACTGAAATGTGACAAAGTTCATAGAAATATGTCTACTAGTAGTATATATGAATTTCCCAGTCTTTCACTTATGTTTTCATTAAAAAGAAAACACTACTTTAAACAGAAATTCTCAAATATGCTTTGTCAACATGGAATCTGCTTTGTAATACTTCTTAGCACATAAGAGGAAAGAGTGAAAGAAAATACCAAGGTCAGAAGAAAAAGTATCTTTCCCTTTGGGCAACTGTCTACAAGGAAATAAAACAAGGTAAGCTGACATATACAGAAAACTTTGTAAAACTACATTTAGATAGATAGAAGGTCATAAATAAAAGCTGAGGGGAAAAAATACGCAAAATCATAAGGGACAGCCAGACATGGTGGCACATCACTATAATTTTAGAACTTGAAAGACTGAGGCAAAGGGACTGCCTCAGCTTAAGGCCAGCCTGTGCTACATAATGACTGCAAGGCCAGCCTGAACTACACAGTGAGACACTGCCTAACAACCCCAACACGAATGAATGAATGAGTGAATCTGTAAGGGATGGAAATCACACCCAATGAGCCAGGCTACCACCATTTGTGTTCCCAGAGACGGAGTTTCGTATCCTTGAAACCACTGTCAAATTCTAAGTTAAAAAATACTTATGAAACTATACCCACAGTGAAACCACTGTGGAAGTCAGCATGAAGATTTCTCAAAAAACTAGGACTAGAGTTTCCATTTGACACAGCTATTCCCT